AAGAACCTGTATCTGATGGAGAGGAGGGAAGTCCGTCATGAGAAAGAATACCTCCATCGAGAGAATTGGCATAGTCGACAGAGTAAAGGATTAAAACTCAAGGCTTTCCCTCTCAGCTGTCAGCACATTAAACGGCCAAGACTGCGGACTTTCTATATTATCTTATTAACACATCTTACTGGGAAACAAATGCGTGGAACGTACAGGGTTGACCTGCAGCAGCCTCCTATATCCTGTAATATGACAAGAAGGCCTCGGAGCGAGTAGATGAGTATGCACGTCTGCTATGCAGATGGACTCCCGGCACACGCGGCTTAGGGGTCTGGTTTATCGCTGCATAGAGACCGAAACAAATGATACCGGCAGAGCATTCCGTTTTGCGAGTATACTCCGTGGCAACAGGCGAGAGGAGGTATGTTTTGATAAGCTCAGCGTAGCAAGAAACCTCAGGAAGACCGTCAAAAGCCCACCTCTCGAAAGAATGACTGAGTGTATCCGTCGCAGGCGGTAGCGGCAGGAGGGAGCCCCTTTTTTCAGAGATGAAATTGGCATTGATCGCTGGGAGAGTATAATGCAGGCCATGCAGAGGTCGACTCGGTCCAGGGAATGAATCATGGTCACATCTCCAGGCTCTCATCAACAGCACGGGGCAAACGTACAAGTCAGCAAGCACAGCTACAACCATCATGGCGATGGATGGATGGGATATCTGCCTCCAATATGAGCTTTTGTCATCGCAATAATGTTCCGTGTGCATTTGCGCTATCGATATTATTGTGTTGATGACATGTCCCGGCATTCTTCAATAGTACTCGCAGGCTGTGGGTTGCTTTGCCTGGGTGTTCCCTTTGGTAAACACTAGGGTTTATATAGGGACATCCTGATGGAGAGAAGGTGGCTCCATCCTGCCATCTGCACATGCCGCGGAATGTTGGCACGCACCGCACTGTTAAAGAAACAATGACAGCCCGGGCTGACCTGCGCTTCGATATTGAGGGCTCTGTTAATTCCTTGGCCCGCGAGCAGGGAATCAGTTTCCATGATGGAAAGCGAGGTGTGATAAGGGACAATTGGAAGATGGCAGAGTTGCAGGGAGGATATTGAAGCTGTTAACAAGACAATAACTCGGCTAGGATGTAACGTATTCACTATAAATAGGGATTGGTCCAACTGGCAACTGGTAACGCACTTCGAAATTCCAGAGACATAATTTCCAGGATCAACTCACCTGTAATCCGATACCCAAAGATGCTCGAATCGGAACTCCCAGTTCAAGACGCACTCGTGTAGGATGAATAATACTGCCACGCTCGGGCGCTGGCTGCCATGCAATAGCATGCTTATAATAGAGAAACCTCGATGGTTGGATCTTTAGATCCAGATATCGACAGAAAGTTCACCTTCCTCAAAGTTCCAAACTGTGTTGTTCTGAAATCAACCCCAGCAAGGATCATATCGGGGCAGAGTGTGTGCGATAGCCTCTCGCATCTGTCATTTTAGACCCGCCAGCGACGCAAGTTCTGCAGCGTGACAAAGGGCTTCCGACTACTCCTGTATCCTCGTTGTCTGCTTGGCCTGACTCGGTTGGGAGCCCCGATGGCACCGATGACAGTACAAGGCTTGAAAGGGGGTATGGATGATGACGAGTGCAACGTGTACGTGTTCTGCAACTGATCTCACTGCGAAGAGGCACATTCCGGAGAGACCACACTCTAGCCCAGTCAATGATTAGTGATGGACGGAAAAGATCGTGATCCAGTTCGGCACGCGAAGTATGGTAATTGTGGCCGATGGTTTCTTCGCAGCGCAAGCCATTAGATGACGTTTCTGGGAGCAGAGGATTGATATCAAGAAAGTCAGCCTGGGGAGATAGATTAAGGCCTGGCAAACGAACAGATACTTCAGTGAGCCGCTGCAAAACACCGAATGATACGCACAGGTCCAGTCACGCATTCCACTGAGGTGTGAACTTTCTCCTGACATCTGTCCTCGCTAGAGAGTGGCACCACAGGGCGCAAGCCGAGGATTATCGAGGATGAGATCCACGGTGTTGCAAAACATATTGAAGCCTGCAAGTTATCAACTCGGCTGTTCGGCGAGCATGGCGAAAGAGACTTACCATGTGACTTTCGATAACAATACAGCGAGCATAGGGAGCCCATTTTCTTCGCTGCTCACATCGCAGAAGATATTAAGAAGAGAACAGCCCCGGCATGCGACGCGAATGGGATCTGAACTAATCTTCTGGTCGCAGAACCTGAAATCCCATGGAAGCTCCGGACTGGACCAAAAGCCCAAAGCCGCCGTTGAAGACAGTCCCACCTATACTTCACTTGGGTGATAGCTCAGTCCTTGACAATATCCAACTGACGTTGAGGGCCAAGTGAACTGGGGCTGAGATTGGAACTGGGGGCAGCGATCGGTAGCCCTTCCTTGATCGAAGTTGAGATTCCGATTTCCGATATCAGGACTGATCAGCAGTCCTGTCATGCAGCTGGTATGCGCTGTATGCCCTGTCGTCGTGCATGATGACTCAGTAGCTGGTAGAAGCTCATACCCTCAATGAGCTACACAGATTGTGCTACAAACACCTTGAGAGGGGCTCACAAAGACCCAGTGGCATGTTGCTAGTGCCTAATTTCTAGTGCGTACCATCCTCATTTAAGATGCCATCCGCCATTCTCCTCGTTAAAGCAGAAGTAGCGACAAGGCGTTTGGATGATTGAAGACTGGCTGAAAGGCGTTTGGGACAAGAAGAGCACCATCTGATATGTGCTAGAAGACCGATGCTTGATGATTTCGAACTTGAGGGGAGGAAGAACGAGCCGTCTGAATCTCTACCGAAAGACGGAAGCCATCGTTATTTCTGCATTCATCCAGTCAAGCACCACTGATCATCTCCTTCTCCCCGTTGGAGGCCAGCCTGAGGTATCTCTTGCTCGTGGCAAGTGACTATTTTCCTTTCAGCTGAGGCTCGATGTCACACGCGGGAGTACACTTACCCAGATCTCAGTGTAGTTTCATCCATGGCCTGGAGCCATGTATCTTCGGGGGAAATGTGCCTCACCAGCTTGAGCTCAATCAGAACGGCTACCATTGTTGGAAGGTGTGTGAAGATGGACGGATGAAACAACACCCCGGCTGTTCGGGGAGTTACTGGGACCCGCATCTCAAACGCAGCGGCCTGTAGTGCTGCAGGGATGGCATGGGATGGGACCGCGCGGTGGAACAGACCTTCAATCCTGCTCGGATCACGTTGTCCAGGGCTGTATGCCGACCGTAGTTCTGCGGATATCCCTCAAAAGACCGTTGGTGATGAGGGCGATTGTCTTCGAGTGTTTGGGATGTGAAGAGAAGCGATGATGGACCGGAAACAACGAGATCAGCCCGAAACGGATAAGAAGGAAGATGAACTCCAAGACTATGAGTCTCACGGACGTCCATCGCTGGCTTAGCGCCTGGATAAACCCGTAGGAGGAGGATCCTGGTGCCGGATAAAATTGTTGTTCGGAGCGACAGAGACAGCCGCACTGCCTTCGTCTTCCATCCTTGTGTCGAAACATTCATATCCGACTTCATCAGCGAGCCAGGTAAGGAAACTCCGGTGCGTTGATGAAAAGGCCTTGGACGATGGGGGGGTCTCAGAGCCTCTCACGGAACTGGCATTTCATTGGGAGGCCTGAAGCGACATATTGCTCTTCTTGGATGGTATAGGCCGCGATTGTCAGGAATTACAACTGTCTGGCGTCTTGATGACTGGCCCGAGTCTGTCCGAGTCTCCAACGCTCGAAGGCGAAGATGACGGAAGACCCTGATACAAAGAGTCATCCTTCACAGGTCTTCCCGGAAATGGTCCACAAAAACAAGTTACTTCCACCCATTCTGCGGCGGAGAAAAGCCTGCCAGACAGCGTGAAGTCTGTAGTGTGGGTATCGGTCACTACGGGGTCGAAGCTAAGGGCTTCACAGTGACATAGGGTTACCTCAACTGCACGGCTGCGCATGTCTTGTCGATGCCGGTGGTTGGTAAATAGCGTACTTAAGAAGGTGACATGTCTCCTTCAAACTGATAGGGGGACTGGGAGATGAGTTAGCTATGTTTGCAGGGAAGGGCAATGGGGTCACTGTAACTGACACACATTGGATTATATCGAAGGTCCAAGGGCATAAAAGCAGCTTGATATCCTTACCCTAGTCCATCAGTTGTAAAAAGGGCCGATCCGGTTGGAGTTCGATCCACGAACAGGTTGAAGCTGGAGTTGATCCTAAAGCGATGATGAATCAGAAGAATAGAGTACTCAGAGAAAGTCGAGGCCACCAAGTGTGGTAGCACCGCCACAGTCACAGAGGACAAGACACACGATCGTACATCTTCCCTCTTGACGATATTCCCCCGCGGGTCAACGAGCCGACATAAGGTATCGCTGTCAAGACGGAGAAATAAAAGATACCCCTTCCACCATCACTGTTCATCCATGTGCCCGATCCAGCATTTTGGAAGGTTAGGCACCTCGAAACTGGGGCGTGGTAGACGCCGCAACCGATTTTTGTCAAGAGTAGTTAATAATGAGGGCAGGCTTATAAAGGGGAGATCAATCAGGCAGGCGTATTCAGAGATATATTCGTCATCGTCGGAGAGTGGAAAACTGAAAGTCTCGCAAAGCCGGAGAAAAAGACATCCACAGTTCCTCCTCCCATGTCCAGGGACCGAAAGGCCACCCAATGTGCCCCCTCCACAGTCAAGAATGAAGGGCCACATATCTCAAAGGCCAGTTCATCTTCGGCTGATGCGTGCTTTGCTTTCAGCCCGGGATAAACATAATAAACTCGTGTCATCCATGTCACTCCTCGGCACAACCCAACATAGCAATAGTGACGCATACCTTCGCGCAAAGTCATCATCATACACCTGGTCACTAAGCAAGAGCTTCATCCAGATGTCCAATTTTCCCAAAGTAATTGTGTTCTGACCACATTTACGCCATCTCCGGAGGGATCATGTACGCAAACTGCAGCATTAAAGTACGCCCCCATCATCTGTAAGGAGTTTCGTTCAAATGCCACGCCATGCCCGAAGCAATCGCAAAAGCAAACAGCAATATGGCCGGACAATGACTGGAAGATTCACGGACTGCCACCAGGCTATCGGGTTCCAACACTGCGTTCGGATCTAGATAGAGAGGCTTGTCATCTCGCGTGGGCTTGGTGATCCAGGTGGACAAGAATGCTGACTCTGTCTGGTTCCTGGTAGAAATACGGGTTAGCTGCCGCTTTCTTGACGAAAGATTATGGGTTTGGGGGGGAAGGGGGCCATACTCTGGCTGCATTGTTGGCGCTGTTACCATCGCAATCCACAACAGCAACAGCAGACCTTGAAGACGGGGGGGTTGGAGAAATGAAAGAGGAACCTGGCACTTTGCCGTCCGCGTCCGATTCGATTGAGGGGTTTTCATCCCATGGGAAGATTCCTCGGGTGTATCGAACTCAAGCTCCATGGTATGGTGATTCTCAGATACAAAACAATCGACTGACGAGCCTGGCGAAGATTCAATTCACACGGAAGGAGGAAAGAAGAGTGTGTCAACTGAGTGCGGCACACCTTCGAAAAGCTCTAATCAGCCACATTTGAATCCCGAGCCTGGTTTCAAGTTGGCCTCAAATACACTCGGATCGACCTCGTCTTTGTCCTCCCTTTCCCATCGCCACACCAGTGACCGGTCTCGGGTTGAAGAAGGCGGGCTGCGGAGTCATCCTGGCCAAGCTGGCTGCAACTCAACGTCGTGCCCATGTATGATACGATGTAATGTGGTCAAGCCCTTGCGGTCTGCTGCAAAACACTAAAGGTTTTGTTGTCTGCTTGACACATGTAAACTGGATCGCAGGTACCACCATAACAAAGGGGAGGTCGCTCGCTTTGATACGAGGCACTTCCTCCGATAGCCACGACACTGATCGCCTCTCCCGGTACAATCTTCACAAACAGTTAGCGAAGCTGCCTCTTAAGACAAGACATATGGGAATACCCGGGACACTAACCTGGCCGGTTGCATGTTTTGCCGTGATGTATAGCGCTGCGGCCTCTGCCTCGGAAATAAAACATATTTCTTCTGGTTCGCGTGCGTCTATTCAGGCCAGGACGGATATCACGAATCCAGGTTGCATACGAAAGGGAAAAGTACACTGGCTATCTCATCGATTCCTGTGCTTGGTGTAGTGGCAATATTCTAAATGCCGCAATTTGGGAGACACAACCTATGGAATCGGCGTCAGTATCACCAACAGCCACGATCCGGATGAGATCACATACATCTGGTGCGATAAGCGTTGACGCCAGTGTTGGCCAACCCAATATGACATTCCATCCAGTGAGATCTGAGCGAACATCCCCCTGCATCGCTTGCCGGCTAATGGTTTGATGCTGTACACAAGCCACGCAACGCAGCGCGCATGGCCGTCAGCAATCCCTCTGGGACAGCGGACTCGCTGTCCGGAGCATCACATCCATGCGGCGGGGACGGAGTGTGATGTGGTCACGATTCCCAGTTGATTGATTCATGCAGGACAACTGTTCCATGGCCATCCTCATCACCTCGCCACCGCGCAAAAAAAAGCACTGACGCGACGCGCGACTGAAATGCAAACGCGAAAGCGAAAGCGACCGCGACCGCAAACCCCTTCTCCAGAATCCCATTTCCCTTCACGAATATCAAGGCTGCGATGCGGCGATCCGATATTGGCGAGTTGTCCCGCCCACGCACCACCTCTGGAGGACGTGTCGGAACCGTCCGCCAGAGAGACCCCGACGGCAGAAAAGCAATGCCATCTCTTCCAATATGTAGCATCACCCGATATACCCAATCTGGGGATCTGGTACCTCGAGCGAATCGAGCTCTCCAGACACGTCTGCAAGACTGAGGATGGGTTCCGGACATGTCGTACTGGAGGAATGAGATGATCGTTCTTGTTTTTGATGCCTGTCGGGTGGGATTAATTCTGGGGATGAACGGGGGTGCAAAGTCTCAGTTGATGTGTTTCAGTCTGCAGTGCTGGAGATGGAGAAGGACGTAGTGGAGGAGGCAAACTTACCAGCCAAAGCCCTAGCAGCCTCCAAAGTAAACTCCACCCACGGCCAACATCCATTGTTAAGTCAGAGGAGGGGGCACTGCGCTTCATCTTCAGTCAGGTTTCCATACACAAGCACCATATGGAGGGATCATTCACAGCCGTATCCTCGTGTTTGTGTTCATCCCCGCACTTGATTCTAGCTTGCTGTTTTAGGTATCGGAAACAACATGTTGGCAACATATCTTTCCACCTGTACCGAGATATATATGCCGTCTCGACTTGACCCGTCTTCACCACCACCCCACACATCCCAAATCCTGGATGGTGAGGCATGGCATCTCTCCATCTGCGTCGGAGATACTCGTCACGCGGCACAGTACAACGTCGAAGGCCACACCACACCACACCACAGTGCTTCACTCGTTTCCTCTCCTGGAAGAACGGGAATTCGGACGAATACCAATTATCTCAACAAAGAAACCGGCCCAGTTTCGAACAGAGATTCTCGAAAGAACGGAATATGGCTGCGAAGACATACGAGAGGTAGACATGATCCGTGATCCACGTCCATCCACAGATGATACACGAGGGAAATATATCATGTATGTATATTCACCACACGGAAAACAAAGTATATAGTGATAGTAAATCAAAGAGAAGAAAAGTATATATAGGAGGCGACAAGAAAGAATAAGCCCACTTAGCTAGCAGTAACCTCGAGAATCAGATCTCATATATAGTACTCACACTCACACTCAGAATCAGAATCAGACTCACCATGACGGTGATAATAACCCAGAGCTCTTCACTGGACATCCCTCCAAACGACATCCCATCAACAGGTCAGGTCCGTAAAGTCCAGACTCGACCCCGCAGCCCTGTATTCCCTCATCCCTCATTCCTCATCCCTCATCTTACGGCGCAAACAAGCGCACATGGGCAACGCCCAGCCCCAACACACATACATAATGCGGAGGAACCTACCTACTTACCTACCAACCTGTACGGTAAGTCCAGTCCAGTCCAGTCCAGGCACCAAGCGAGCGAGCGAGCAAGCAAGCGATGCCACCTCCAAACACCGTCTCTGCCACATGTACCACCCCAGCCAGCCAGACAGTGATCTCGATGAATCCGATCGGGCCTGTCAGAGTGCGCTAACGGCTACTATACTACTGCCAGCTGCCCTTCCCTGCAGGTGCAGCTAGCCCTTGTCTCCTTGACAGAGATGTCCGACTGTCCGACCGACCGATCGACCGATCGACCGACAGAGAGATAGATAGACAAACGCGGTGTCGGCCTCGAGACTTGGCTAGGCTAGGCTAGGCTGAGCAGGACAGGGCAGGGCAGGGCAGTGCCACCTGCCACCTGCCACCGCGGCGGGTATGTGCAGGGGTGACAGTAACAGTGACAGTGACAGTGACAGTGACAGTACGGAGTACTCCGTACAGCATACCTACCGGTTTGGTCTGCCAATGTGAGTGTCAGTGTGACGGATAAGTCAATAACCCCCCATCACAATCCACAAAATGAATTCAACATCACCAACTCACTCAACTCTCGAGCAAGTTTAAACGCTGATTCCACGGTGTGGGAAAACAACACCCAGCGCGGTGGCAAACCAAGTACCACGTATTTTCTTTCTTGGATGTTGGGTTGATGTTGGAACTGGTTGCCCAGTCAACCCACGGCAGATAGTTAGTTATGCCTGACCCTGCTGCCATTCACCACTATACAATACAGGGATGGGGGTGTGGATTTGTTTGCCAGGTCGGTCAGGGGAGTTTGTTTGATTAGACCACCCACACATATCCCAGTGTTATACATAGTACATAGTACATACTATAGGTAGGGGTTTGTTTGGATTCCGAGTCGAGTCGAGTCGAGTCGAGTCTTGTACCTGGCTTGGCTGCCTGGCTGCCTAAGCATAGTATAGTAGCAGCATGCCAATTGTATCACCACCACATACTTTCCTTTCCTCAACCCTCATTCCCCCCTCCCCCAACAACACCCAAGTTCAACCCAAATCTTCAAAAATGCCATGTATGTATGTAGTATGTATGTATATAGTATTAACCGTACTATAAAACATTACGAAGTATGTTAGGTAATTAGCTAAATACACCGTCATCATCGCAACCCCCTATTAATCCGTACTACTGTGTACGCAAACAGGGTAACTAAGTGGGTAGGTCGCGTTCCTCCGCATCGTGTTTCACCGCAACCGACGATCCACATCCGCATCCGCATCGGACAATTAGAAGGCAAACCACTCACACCCGATCATCAACCTACGCCACGACAGGCCAGCCATCAGTCCAAGTCAGATTGTTCCAGCCGAATTGGTACTGGTCGACGGCCAGACCGATGTCCTTGTCGGCGTAGTGGTAGTAGACGATCAGGCCGTAGACGGGGTGGTCCAGGATGCCCCTGGAGGTTATGTATGTTAGTTATCTCATGGCCTAGGTAGGTAGATAGATAGAGGGCTGCGTTTGGGACGGGATCGGACCGTCGCCGGACGGCCAGCCAGCCACAATGAGAGAAAAAAAGGGGGAAGGAAGAAAGAAACTTACTGTCCGCCGGGTCCGTAGACGTAGTCGTGGCTGGCTAGAACGGTGGTTCCGCCGCTGTTGGTGCACGCGGTGCCGTCTTGGTCGACCTGGTGGATTGTTAGTCTACTCTGGGAGTATATTGGGGGGGAGATAAAAAAAAAAAAAAAAAAAAGGAAACATACAAAGTCGCCCGTTCCGGTCGTGGATCTGCAGACCACAATACGGTACTCGTCACCCTGAGCAGGAAGGGAGGTGGTGTATCCTTGGGCGGTTCCGGAGGAATAAGTGAGGTAGTAGTAGTCCTCATACTCGAACATGAAGGCGGCCTCGATGTCGTGGTTGCCCGAGGCATTGTAGGCCAGGTTGGTGTAGCTATCGCCGCTGCTGGTCAGGGAGTCGGTCATCTCGACCTGGAAGATCCCCTGCCAGTAGGAGCCGAACTGCAGGTAGGAGGCATCGCCGATGGTGATCCAGTTGGGGTCAATGGCGTTGTAGTCGTCGGAGGTGCTGGATGTGACGCCGATCTCGCCGTGGTCGGTCCACGACCCGACCTCCAGGGTGGTGGAGCTGGCCACTCCAATGGTCGAGTTGCGGCTGCCGAGCGCGGAGCTGGCATAGTACATGTAGTAGGTGCCGTCGACGTAGTGCACATCCGGGGCCTGCAGGAATGTTAGTTAGGGCTGAACTCTGAAGACGGCGGGGCGGACGGGAGGGAAGGAGGTGAGGTGGTATGGTATGCCGGATGTTATGTGTGTGTGTGTGTGTGTGTGTGTCTTACCCAGAGATTGGAGGCATCCCCCACGGTAACAATCGAGCCACCGGGCAAGGCATACCCCAGGTCGGTCCAGGGACCCTCGATCGTACTGGCGGACGAGATGTGGATGCCTCCTCCCGTCGAGAAACGGAAAAAGCTGCCGTCCGACTTGCGTTGGATCACGTTGGGGTCATGGGCCCAGCATGATCCCGAGCAGGTACCCGGGTCTGAGTAGGCGTTTACCAACGCTACACAGAGTAGCAGGATGTAGGAGAGCATGGTGATCGAGGGGAGGGGGGAGGGAGGGGGGAGTAAGAGGAACAGAAGAGGATGTAAGGACGGAATGGTGTTTTCAATTCATCCAGCACACATGGTCGAGCGAAGAAGGGCCTTTTATGTACAATTGGGGTCGGCTATGGAGTGGGTGATTCTCCAGTCTCCAATGTCTAGTCTAGTGTCTGGTCTAGTGTCTGGTCTCCCCTTCTCCATCGGCAACTGTCACCTTGACGGTGCTGCAGAAAGGCAGCCTTGCAAGTAAGGGCCACACTAGAGATCCGGCTGAGCTTACGCATGCATTGACCTCGGGTCATTCATTCTCTCGTAAATTAAGAGAGGGTCAATGTCAAGAAGGGCGATTCCGTGGCCGTGGCCGGAGCCGACTCTTCTTCCCCTTGCTGCCCAGGGCCAGACCAATCACGCCTTTGCAAATCGCTTTGACTTTAGGGACGAGACTAGCGGCAGTGGAGGCGGTCGTGACCTGGATATGCAGATTATCCGCATCGACGTGGACCATGGTTGCTGGCAGACCAACCTACCGTGCTCAGACAGGCCCTGAGGCAGAGAGAGGGCCGGATGGAGACAAGCCAGCCCAGTTGCAGACCAAGCAGAGCGCGCCCGGCCAGACGGGAATCAGGCAACGGGAATTAATTGGAAATGCATGAAAAGTCCAAAAGGACATAGACAAGGTTTAGGGTCGCTTCTAGCGTCAGGCAGCTGATCGATCGGGTGGTCTCCATCACATTGCCCTTTTGGGACCCCATGACTGCAAGTCTGGTCCTGCATCCGAAAAGTGGGTATGCTCGGGTGTCGGCTCCAGGGAGGAAATGCTGACTGACTGACTGACCGACTGACTGTTAGGTACTTCCCAGAGGGTAGACTGATCTGCCCGTGATGGGTCTGGAAGGGGTTGCCTAGAAGTCACGGCAATAAATGAGGGTTGGGGTTTGGGGGGGTTATACTCGGGACGGAGGCATAGTACGGGTCAACACTGGGGATCGCCTCACCCTTTTCAACCTGTACCTCTTTGTTTGTCTCTTTCTGTCTGTCTGTCTGTTTGTCTCTCTCTCTCCTTGATCTCATCTCCCCCCATTTACCCCATGGCGTCATCGCCCATTCACTCCCTGCCACATCCCCCACAGCAGCTTGGCCTGACGTGTCAATCCCAGCGCGCCAGAGGCCACACCTTGAAGGCAGAACCGGGCTCTCCGCATGCGGTGATTGGACTTGGGGGGAGCTTAGCCTCCCCAAAGCTTGGACTAGCGGACGCCTCGAAGGCCATTCGGGAAGCCATCGGTCGATCATGGGGGGCTTGGGGGGGTTTGGGGAATTTCCACCCAATGGCCCCCGAGCCGTCGCGTTGGCTTGTCGGCGGCCATGGCGGAGCGACGGGGAGCTTGCCATTTGCATCGGGATGTCGTGATGGGATCCCCAGATCCGATGATACTATTACAGATAGTAGTAGTGCACTCACTCCGTAGATAGTGCTAGTCACATCTGCCCTGGTGAGGATCCTATCCACTGTGAGGGGAAATCATCCAAACTAGAATTCTGTTCATGAAGAAAGAATGCCGCTCGGGTGTCCCAGTTTACAGTAACATTACCACTTGGGTACATTTGCATCAGGGGATTCGATCTAGAAGGTCGCACAGCCTTTCGCTTTGTTTACTCTTTTTTTTTTCTTTTTCTTTCTCTTTCTCTTTCTCTCCAGCCTTGCCTCTCTTATGTCAGCGTGAGGTATCTTATTCTTAGCCTGGTTCTTGGTCTTCTGTCCCGAAGCCGTCGGCGCCAGCCGTCAAGGGCCGAAAGTGTCCAGAATTTGGGCCCGGGGCGGCACAGCACTGTACCATGATCGTCTCACGAGGGTATCTATTCATAATGATGGTGGTGAAAGTGGTGGTGGTTGTCCTCATGGCATGGCGAATGTGATGGTGCGACCTGCACTAAGGATGTCGTGACTTTGACTGCCCCATCATCGAGGGGAGAACAGAGACAAAGTACACGATGGCACGGCTCATAGTCATCATGACGGGAGCCTGACCCTGTCTATACCCGCGTCTTCTATCGCGGGTCGCGACGGCCGAACAAAGGGCTTCCTTCCAGCGGGGGGAGTTGGGTTTGGTGTTCCGGGGCCGTGACTGGCCAAGGAACACGAGAACAGAACAGCCATGATGATGACCGCATGCAGCCACTTTCGAGCCATTCTTACTACTACTGCCACCTACAGTACGGAGTAAATACTTACACTGCCACTGCCACTGCCACTGCTACCACGGACGACAACGCACCGTCGCGGATTATTCCCTCCACTGCCTCCTCCGCCCGCACATTGCGGTGAGAAATTGATTATCTGCAGGTCGGACTCCGGATTGTCAGTTGATTACTCCGCGTGGCTAAACCTGCTACTTTTCCAAGGAGGTAAGTATATCTGCCCGCCCCGTCGCCGAGGGAATTGCAAGCATCAGTAGCGATTGCGCCTTCGAGGGTACTTCCCACTCGTCCAGGGGCCGGTTTATCGTTCCGCTGTGGGTATCGACCGTTCATTACGTGCATTGACACTCTGGCGCCATATGATGTGCAAGACGGGGGGGGGGGGGGGGGCCGGTGGATCCTGCGGAGATTTTGGCTATTCTCCGAGAGAAGGTAGAAGCACTGGGTTGCTATCGATTGATTATTATTTTGATTGCCTATATTGTTGACTCGGCAGTCGGCTGAGTTGAGTTGGCAGGCTCACTCGCTCGCTCGGACTGTGCCAGTTGTCGTACTGCCAAGGGGGAAGGCGGAAAGAGGTGGCGATTGCCCCTTTGGGTAGTTGCCGCGGCAGAAATATTAATCAGACAGATTATCTCTTTATCTACAAATTTCTATTATCTAGTTAGTAGAGAATTAATTATTATTTTACTAGTATCTTATTATTTATAAATAGTTTTATCTAATATTTTTATTATATAACAAGAGCTGCCTATCTATAATATATTATAATAAATCAAATTATTTTTATTATTATTAAATATAATAATTAGAGCCCAATAAGCCGCGGATTAAGAATAATTATTATTTTTTATATTTTTATATTTTTATACTTATTTATCTATCTATTCTATATTTATTTTATTAAAAAGTAGATATTACTTCAGTCTTTATAAGAAAAGTAATTTATTATCTAGTCTTTAATAATTAAAGATAAGAAGAAAACTTTAAAAACTTTAAATTAAAGTAACTATAGTTAATTAATTAATTATAATTAAATAAAACTAATTAATCACAAATAATTAATTAAATATAAAAAATTATAATATTATATATAAATAATCAGCCGATATTTATCAGTAAGTCAGATAAAAATATTAGACTATTTATAAATTAATATTATTATATATAATATAAAATATCTAATCTTAAGAGTAATAAGCTAAATAAAGCTAAAGCTATAATAATAATATTAAACTTATAAAATAAAACTTTTTAATTTATAAATATATTATCTTAAGTTAATTAGCTAAATTATAATATATTAAAAACTTAGCTACTAGTTAGATTTTCTCTGAAAAAATTAATTAACAGAGTCTAAATAATAATAAATAAGATAGCTAACTTACAATAAAAAAATTAAATTATTAATAAATATATTAATAAAGTAAAAAGTATTAATTATATAATATTTATTAATTTAGAATAGCTTCAGAGATCTCTAATTATATAATTTATAAAAAAATTAACTAATAAGACTGTCTATATTATATTATTAATATATATAAAAACTCAGACACAGAGAGTGATTACTATAATTAAAGTAGTCTCGGCTATTAGTATTACTAATAATAATATAAAAACTAAAATTATATTATAATAAGCTATTAAAATCTTGCAGATAATAAAAAATAATATAAATAAGATTAAGATTATTTTAAGCTTATAAATAAATAATAAAACTATAATAGAGACTATAAAGATTTAAAATTATCTTATTATTAATAAATTTATAAAAAAGCTAAAAAGCTTAAAAATTATTAATAAATCTTAATCTCAGTCTTAGTCTCAGTCTTATATTTAATAAGATTAATTATAATTCTGTTAATCTTCTGATAATATAAATAATTAAATTTATTATTATTATAAGAAATAAGAGTATATTATTCTAATATATATAAATCTGCTCTTATTATTAAAAAATTAGAATTAAATATAATAAAAAAATAGAGTAAGAGCTAATTAAGCAAGATAAATAAAAAAAATAAGAGAATAATATCTAATTTTAAAAATATTTTTAAATACAGAAAACAACAGTAATTTATTAAAATAAATATTAAATAAAAAAATAGAATTACAGATTAAATTTATATTATTAGATAAAAAATCTTAGTCTATATCTTAATTAATAAGTAGTCTGAATATTAATTATATTAATCTTAATAATAATATAATTAAAAAATAGATTATAAACAGAAGCTATATAATTATAGATTCTTATATAATTAACTTAAAAATAAAGATTTAGTAAGAATATTAGTCTAATATATTAAAATAGTTATAAAAAATATATATAATAACAGAAGAGAAAAGATAACAAAAAAAATTTAATAATAATAAATTAAAAAAATTATATTAGTTACTTCAGAATTATTTATTAGATTAATTATTATTATAATAAATACTAAATTTTCTAGACAGGGGTATACAGTAAGAAGATAGATTAATAAACTAAATAAAAAAAACTTAGATCTTTATAAGATCTTTAATAATATTATAATTAAAATATTACTGACTTAATTACTTAATATTATTCTAATTATTTATATTAAGATTAATAAACTTATAAAGCTTCAGGTCAAGAAGAATAATATTATTAAATTAAATAATAAATAAAAAAAAAAAAAGTCTGTTAAATATATAAGATTAATATATATTAAGAAATTAATATATACAGCTAATCTCAAGTATTATAATAATTATTTATAATCAGCTTATTCTGAGAAAATTATCTTATTTTTTATATATATTAA